TATTATAGCGGATTTCTTTTTGATAGGTGATTATTTAAACATTTTCAGATAAAGAAATTATAGCATCATCTTAAGAGCCTATCATGGCCGTTTTTTTCTTTTAAGATAAAAACGTTTCTCGCCAAATGTAGAAATAAATATTCGGTAACATTTCAAAACAAAGTTTGAGTCGCTAAATTTAAAGATATGTGAAATATTGTTGGCAAATTTAAAGATGCAAATACACAGGTGCCAACGACCAAGACAAATCTCAACGCCAAATTTATCTCCTTTCAATGTTGTGGGGTGAAGCATCATAGAGCCAAGACCTGTTACAGCTTCCGCCGGCTATGTGGACCCTGCCAAGGCTTGAAGTTCAGGGCGACCACCTCCCTCCCTTGCCTTGTCTAAGTCGGTGAAGCAAAATAAGACGGTGGAGAAGATGGCGTGAAGAGATAGGAAAGGAAAGTGCTGGGAAATGAATAAAAAATGAACATAAAGAAAAACAAAATTAACAAATGTCTAAGATAGTTTGGTAAGACAAGAAGACACAATTAAATAAACAAAGAATCAGTAATAGTGTAGATCAAGATAGTAAATAAGGGCCAACAGTACCAGTAATCCTCAGCTACTTCTTGCACACACACACACACACACACACACACACACACACACACACACACACACACACACACACACACACACACACACACACACACACACACACACACACAGACGAAATGTTCACACGGAATAGTAACAGAACGAGGGGACATGGATGGAAGCTGGAAACTCAGATGAGTCACAGAGATGTTAGGAAGTTTTCTTTTAGCGTGACAATAGTGGGAAAATGGAATGCACTTCAGGAACAGGTTGTGGAAGCAAATACTGTTCATAATTTTAAAACCAGGTATGATAGGGAAATGGGACAGGAGTCATTGCTGTAAACAACCGATGCTCGAAAGGCGGGATCCAAGAGTCAATGCTCGATCCTGCAGACACAACTAGGTGAGTACACACACACACACACACACGTGTGTGTGTGTGCGTCTAACACAGGACGTTAGAAAGAACTTTTTCAGTGTCAGAGTAGTTAACAGATGGAATGCATTAGGCAGTGATGTGGTTGAGGCTGACTCCATACACAGTTTCAAGTGTAGATATGATAGAGCCCAGTAGGCACAGTCATCTGTACACCAGTTGATTGACAGTTGAGAGGCGGGACCAAAGAGCCAAAGCTCAACCCCCGCAAGCACAAATAGGTGAGTAAATAGGTGAGTACAAGTTGCAAGCACGAACCGGTCAGGCAATGAAGGCCACCCACAAATTGCAAAAGGTTTAGGTTCGTAATCATCGCTTTCCTGTTTCGCTGCAAAAAGTATTTATTAAAAGACGAGAGCTGCGACCCGTCCGCTCGAACAGTGCATCGTATTTTGACGTATAAATTCCCCAACGTCAAAGTATGATGTATTATAAACCAAACCGGCTCGTAAAATTGACGGCCGGCTGTTCCGTTTTCTATTCATGGGTCCTCGGTTACATTAGTACATCATTTTTGAGACGTAACAACTTGAGAGAACAGACACCCGTGACCCACAAAATTGATTGCCTGACCTTTCCACTTTGGCAACCATGGAAATACGGTTCTCTGTGGCCATAATGAGCTGGTAGTAAATACGCCTTGACCCTAAATTTTAACGTAACCTGAAAACAGCAGTTACAACAGGTGTGGTTTAGACCCCCTTGCATAAGTTATTATGCGGTTATGTCATGAAGTATGCCCTCTCCTGCTCCTTGTATATCAACGGCTAAATGCTACTCTTGGAGCATTTTCATGATTAAGGCATGCTTGCTAGTATGCCATTATGCTTTTGTGGTATTATTAATCATCCTCTCGCTGTTAATACAATCTGTCCTGTCTCATAACACACACACATATATATATATTGAGGTTAAAATCCCCGCTGTCACAGCAAGATTTACTAAAAATCATAGCGACTCCCAAAATTGATGTGATTTACATCATTTTACATCATTTAGTGCATCGTTTTAATGACGTTATGAACGCATGAGAGGACGGCCTGGTTGATAGGCGCTAAGCTCAGCTACAAACCAGTGACAGTTATTAAGGAGAAATATGTACCAAAAAGTATATCCAGCTTCTTGGTGTATATATACTGAGTTTACTCACCTGCGATTGGATTAGCCTTAAGCCCAATACCAAAACCAACTGATATTTTCCTGGAATTCGGTAATAAGTTATAATATATATATATATATATATATATATATATATATATATATATATATATATATATATATATATATATATATATATATATATATATATATATATATATATATATATATATATATATCTATATATATATATATATATATATAGAGAGAGAGAGAGAGAGAGAGAGAGAGAGAGAGAGAGAGAGAGAGAGAGACAGAGACAGAGACAGAGACAGACAGACAGAAGACATGGAAAAACATAACACTATTATCTGTGTCTCTATATATAAACATCGCTTCACTCGACGGTAATTCCTGTTGAGCAGCTTCGTTTAATAGAGCTTTTGGGATTCCCCCAATTTTTTGTTTTGTTTATAACAAGAGTAAAACAAAAGTACTAACACGGGTATTTCAATATATTTCCATCCATTTTAAAGTCAAGGGATGTGGAGTTCTTCGTATAAGTTTAAGTTGTTATTGAGAAGCAATTGTCATTAATTTCAGTAGTTGCATATAGCATGCTACTAATTTTAAATTTGGATTTCGCTGTCCCCAGATGACATTTTTAATTGTAAATGCTTGGTTACGGGCACACCGACAATATATTCCTTAGGTGCGTTCGTAACAAGATAACTAACTCTGGTGGCGGCCGGAAATCATCAGATACGGTGGATCTCTTGACTGCGGGCGAGACAGACAGACAAGAGAGGTGTGTATATGTCTTAGTGATTCTTTTACATTGTCAAAAGTATCTCAAACGAGTATGTGACTTCGAGCAGCATCACCAGTGACAGAGGTTAGAAAAAGAGAGAACAGTCTTCACTGAGCCATTTAAAATCAGGTTACCCAGGACTTTTTGTCGCTACGAACTTTCCGAAAGTTTTTTTTTTTTTTGTCACCGTGAAGTGCTCGAGAGCGCTTAAAATAGACTTCCAGTCCAGACTTTCAATGCTTCAACATTTTCATTTATCCCTCCGATTTAATTATAGACTTTAATTATATTTGTTTATAACATTAAGGTAAACTTTAACACGTTGAAGAAATCCTCAGTTAAAAACAGACGCTCCTTTGCTCAGGTGAAAAGTCTTAACATTTTCGGTGGAGTGGAGTAGGCTTCTTGGCTCTCAGTATTAATGGCCGCCTCGTCGCCTAAGGTCGCGCTGAGAGCCCTGGTAACAACACTATTCTTAGCAAAGACTACTTACTACCCAGGGAGAGGAATACGGTTCTCTACGTGTGTGTGTGTAAGATTAAGCGTTGTTTGAATGCTCACACGTTTCTGCCCGCATTGTTTTCATCATTGAGGTGTTAGGGGCAACGTTTTAAACATTTTACCATTTTTAACGTTTTTTTTTTTTACATTAGATGTTTATCCATATTTATAAATTTTTAGACGTTTATCCACAGTTATTCGTTGTATATTCATTTAGGCTTTTCTTTCATCGTTTAGGCGTTCTCGCCACGTTTAGGCTTTTCCTCAAATTTATTCCACTGTAAATTAAGGCTTTGTCTGCAAGTTTTTCACCGGTCTTACAAGAACCCGCCGGCACCCGCCTCGGCCCACACACCAACCTTGGAGACGCCCACTCCGACACCTGCGCCGTCTTTTCAATAGCAAGGTGATAGGAGGAATCTTAACTGAACAACGTTGTCTAACGTACTGTAACTCTATAGGCAATCCAGTTCATATAAATAGTTTGAAATGCATTCTTTTTACAAAATTCTTGTAACAGCAGTTACTGTTATTCTGAATATAAATTTTGTTATTTGTATTATTGTTATTATTATTTTTCTGTTGGCATTATTGATTTTATTATTATTATACAGAGAAATCACAGTAACGTGAAATATCATTGAGAAAATCCACACCGCATGGGTTCGAATCCTTATCGTGGCGCCTGTGGACTTTCTCATTATCATTATTATTATTATTACATAAGTATATCTGAGACAAATCCACCGGAAGAGAGAGAGAGAGAGAGGGGACTGCGTGAAGCTGAATAAGAGTGCATGGGAGCTCTAATATCCGGATGTGAAGGCATGGTGAAGTTGTCTGGTGCGTGGCCGAACAATTTCATACTTCACCCAAGATGTTAGATGAGCGATTTCCGGTCATGTTCTGCGGAAGAGAGACGCAGAGACGGAGTCACAGGCTGACAGAAAATGAAGTTTAACATGTAAATAAAACCCGATTTCTAATTCCCTTGAGATAATCTGAGGGGTATTAGATTATTATAATGTCAGAGTGCCAAACGAGTGCATTCGAAACTGGTTATCTTGAGAGAGCAATTGGGCGTTGGGTCTGGAGTTATAAGAGGGGGACGCGACTGTGATATCAAACACGTTGACCGTCGCGTGACTTAAACAGAGGATTAGCTAACAAGAGAAAATATAACGCGAGCAGGAATGCTTAGTAAACACTAAGTGAGCGCTAAGGGGACAGACTAAACAAGCGAAAGGTTGTAAGGGTCACGCAAGTATACTCACTGATCACCAGCAAGTATACTCCGCATATATAGGAAATGTTAAAATTGATGACTTGCGTGTTTGTGATCGCCTGTAGCTTGGACAAGCCAAGCCGACAGACGGGCTTGTGTGACAACAAAATATATTTATATATTATTACTTCATATATTATATAAAGACCATAACACGGTTTAAGTTGTAATTTTCTTATTATTCGACTGTTGACGCACAATTCACACATTCATAGACTAGCAGATAGACGCATTTGAATTTCATAGCTTGTGACTTGAGAGGGTAAACATCGACGTATTTTGCAGATGCCGCCACCAAAATACGTGAGGGTGTTAGTGGCGGTGTTGGCGATGGTGTGCTGGAGCTCCCATGGTGATGCTCGCACGCTGAAGAGAGTCAGAAGGCAAGGTAATAGTAGTAGGACAGAAAGTAAGTATATTTGTACACTTCGAATCCATTCATGGCTTCCTCTGCTGATCTGAAATTGCGACCTATGTATTTCTTTTTCATGCTTTTATTTAATATTGGATCTTTTCATTGATGGTATTTCCTTTTCAGTAAGCTTTTCTTGAAACAGTTTACATTTAAAGAAATATTGCTGTAAAGTGTTGCTAAATGTAGGTAAATGCTTAATGAAGAAGTGACGAGGATGCTTGTCTGGTGTGTGGGGGGTCTGCAAGCCTCATGTAGGTGATGGTCGTGGCTTGCATGTTGGTGCTTGGGCTTTACTGCACATATAATGAACTCCATTACACATACACTCATCTCAAGGAAGCAGCCCGTAGCAGCTGTCGAACTCTCAGGTACCTATTTACTGCTTGGTGAACAGGGGGATCAGGTGAAAGAAACTGCCAATTTGTTTCTGCCTCGGCTGGGGGTTTGAACCCGGGCTCTTAAAACTACGACCTTCGAACGCTATCCACTCAGTCGCACGCGCGTGTTTGTGAGTGTATTCACCTAATTGTGCTTGCTGGGGTTGAGCTCTGCTCCTTCGGCCCGTGTGTGGAAGGTAGAGAGATATATATAGTAGATATGATAGAAAAAAAAAGGTCGGAAGTCAGTGCATTAGACAACCGACGATTTGAAAAACAGAGTCCAAGAGCTAACAGCCCGATCCTGCAGGCACAAATGAGTAAATACACACACACACACACACACACACACACACACACACACACACACACACACACACACACACACACACACACACACACACACACACACACACACACAGGCGGGACCAAAGAGCCAAAGCTCAACCCCCGCAAGCACAAATAGGTGAGTACACACACACACACACACACACACACACACACACTCGTCATTGACATATAGGCTACATGTCAGCTTAAGGGGGATGCAAGTGGCTATCACTGCAGCCATTACTATTAACACCAGTACCAGTACTGGTATTGTTAACAATATCTTAAACTAACCCTACCAATGATAGCGGTACTATAGTATCACTATCTTACCCAGCTACTAATATCATTGCTACTTCCTTCAACTAACCTTAATGCTGATGACGTTTCTATTTCCGTTATCATGATAAGATTATTACCAGTTGGTTTAAGTGTCTTTTATCAGCAATTTAAAGTGTTACACATAAAAAAGTAATTATTCAAAAATATTAAAAAATTGCCTGCAATAAAATAGATAAAAATAATTATACAAAAAATATTTAAAAACTACCTGCAATTAAATAGGTAATAAATACTAACTAATCAAGCTATTTGTGGTACTGTTAATTCCATAATTCAGTGTAATCTGTACTAATATTACTGTACTGTTAATATTGTACTTTGTATTGTAGTGTTATATTTGGCTGCTCTTCTGTATAAGTGGTAAACTTTTAGTTTACTCCAGGTAAACTGTTGGAATTAAATGTTTTAAGTACTCGGTAAACTCTAACACGTCTTTATACGTAACATGTGATTAGATTAAAATTATGTTAAAAAGCCTAACACACAAACTAAAAATTTAATTTGATGCTAATTTAATAACATTAAAATCCATTTTCGTTTAAACGGCGTTTGTTTAGAGACAAGTTTTAAGGCAATGTAGAGGGGGTATCGAACCAGCGTCCCTGGACGCCTCAGACACACACACACACACACACACACACACACACACACACACACACACACACACACACACACACACACACACACACACACACACACACACACACACACACACACACACACATACACACACACACACATACACACACACACACACACACACACACACACACACACACACACACACACACACACACACACACACACACACACACACACACACACACACACACACACATACACACACACACACATACACACACACACACACACACACACACACACACACACACACACACACACACACACACACACACACACACACACACACACATACACATACACACACATACACACACACACACCACTACCTCAGGAACCTGTACACCTGTTGATTGACGATTGAGAGGCGGGACCAAAGAGCCAGAGCTCAACCCTCCCAAGCACAATTAGGTGAGTACACACACACACACACACACACACACACACACACACACACACACACACTACCTGGGACGGGACAACCACCACAATTTCTCATAAATACATCAAGTTGTTGCGGTTGTGCACTGTTGATGTCATTCTCATGAGGAAGGTGAATATTTTCTCCATATAAAGAAGCATGTATTAGAACATCAATATTGTGTCTTAAAGGCCGCCTCTTACACCTGTTGTGTGTTCGACCTTGATGTTGTGTAGAATGGACCTTGTAGCTGGTACTAGTGAATTAAGCGGACTTGCGTTACTAGTCCCACCGCTTACAGTGTTAAACAACGTTACTACCACAATATCCCTTACTATTAGGATATCTCAACTACGGATGAGTTAACTGTTACTATTATAGCAACAGTAACGTCTAATATCACAACAATTATCCCACGATTATATCTTAAGATTTAATCTAGTTATGGAAGTATACCCTTTAGTGTTTGAATTGAAATTGAAATTGAAATAAGTTTATTGAGGTAAAATACACACAAAGGGATGAGGTAGCTCAAGCTATTCTCACCCCGTTCAGTACATCGTGTTAATACATACATATACACACATCACAAACAATAAACATATTACCAAACATTCTGAGAGATAAACATATACATTTCCTCTTTAGTATTCGTTTCCTGGTTCCTTAAATAGCCCGTCTACTTGAGTAGCCACAACGGGGAAAATACAGAGCACTAAAACGCGCCAAGCTATAGCCTGCTATAGCCTAACTAAACGAACGCGTAGAAAACGTGGATGTTTGTGAGAGGTGATAGATTTCCTAGACATTAAAACATTGATTGTAACCATGATATATATGTACTTCCGCCTACAGTTTAGACCTATTGTCTTATGTATGACCCTCTGTCCTGCGTGACAGTGAATACCAGCATTATTCTCACTTTAATAAGACTTAATCGAAATCCTCAGATTAGGCAAAATTGTAATTAATTTTGTTAGTAAAGATGTTAATAATAAGTATATTTGCATTTTGTCTGTCGGGGAACATACAGCGTATATATGTATATAGAATGCGGTGTATTATTGTGCATGGATGGCCTTATTGGTCTCTGGGGAAGTAAGCAATTGACTTGTGTCCGCAGCCATAGTGTTCAACGCGCCGACGCTCCGAGACCCCGAACAGTGTAGGACTCCGAACGGCGTGGGAGGCCGGTGTGTGATCCTGGCAGAGTGTCCCACGCTCTTCAAGAGACTCACCTCAAAGCCCTCGCAGGAAGACTTGACGTTTCTGCGGTCGTAAGTGAATCTTTCACGTTGAGTGCAAGACTTCTCCGAATGTACGCTAGCAGCTAAAGTGTGTGGACAAAGACAGGGACACACTCGAACACTATATCTTGGATTGTAGTAAAATTGAGCCATTTAGAGATAAATCTAAGCTCACTTTGTATGATATGGCAACCTATCTTATTACCATGGATAAATTACCTGAAATCATTGCACTGTATCCATGTTTCGCTTCCGGTAGATGAACGACATATGAGATTAAGAAACAAGTAGTGTATTATGAAGACTAATAATAAACAGAAGCTCCCCTATGACTCTGTAATATCTTCATTGGTCAAATTATTATGTATTAGCGATAAGACTTACCATTAATGTATAATGACTTACTGTAAATATATAGCTCTTGAAATAGCACTTTCTTTTGTGCCTTCTATAATGCTTTTTGCACTACCGCTCACAGGATGGGTATGGAGTGCACAATAAACTAGCCGCCTTCGGCGGCAACAATTAAGCTACAATTTGGACTGTACTGAGCCGTGAAAACTTACAGTTTGAAACATAGTTCAAAGTTCTGTTCTTAGATTAGCAATACCGGCAAATTCTATAAAGTCAGTGTAGGTATACGTAGCTATACTTAACGAGATGTATACGAGTTATTGAATACAGGTGCCATGGAAGTGTCGGTATCAGAGAGAGAGAGAGAGATATGTTGCTTTGCAGTGGGGGGAGGGGGGAGTTAATTATACTTTAGAGGGTTATAGAAAGAGGTCCCTGAAGGGTTTATCGGCGTCACTGACTGTTCCTTGTAACGCCAAAGACAGTAAAATAATCAACTACGTGTAAAATTGGAGGACTCCCAAAAGTTTCCTTCTCCTGCATCACTATACCTTATTTGTTCTCTCTTCTTATTAAGGAGCATCTGTAGATTCGAAAAGTCTTCCCCTCTCATCTGCTGCACTCTTCACGACATTGCCCTCGGGACCAACACGTCTTCTACTACGACCTCCACCACTACGACCTCCACAACTACGACCTCCACCACTACGACCTCCACCACTACACCCTCCACCACTACACCCTCCACCACGACACCCTCCACCACGACACCCTCCACCACTACACTCTCCACCACCTCAGGTTGGTAACCTAAAATATTTTGTAGAGTTTGGTCTGAAAATAGACCTAACGCCTCCACGTTGAGATATGTTGTATATTACTAAGAACTTTGTTTGATCCGACCGGGATTCGAACCCACGCCGTGTAGGTTGATGTTGGTTTAGATTCAGCTACTCTGAACAAAAAGTTCCAAGTAGCACGGGCTATGGTGAGCCCCCTAGTGAACTTCCCTGGCACAGGAGCGGGGCTGTAACTTACCCGTAACCATGTTACAGAGGTTGTAAATACCATTCATATTCTCCCGTTGTTAGTTTTAGGGACATATTTACTCGCAAGTTTCTAGCGTATTTTATTATAGGAAGTTACTTCATCATTTTTCACGGCTTTTAGGGTTTCTCTCCACTTTCTATTATTTTAAACTTTGCATTTGTTTAGCTAAAATCCAATAGCCATTTTCAGATCACCTTTGAAGTGTGTTTAGTTTACTTTGCAATGTGTCATTGTAATTATCGGTTCTGGTTTTTCTCATTCATTTTACATTACCAGCGAACTCTGATACGAGTGGTTCTGTTTTCTCTGTTAGCTCTTTGGCGAATATTAGGAACAGGATGAGCCCCTTTAGTCCTAAACAATGTCTAGGGCTAAAGTATTCCTGCTGGTTGGTTACTAAACACTTAATAAGTTGGTCACTAAACACTTACTAACCCTCCAGGGGCTGATAGGCCTCAAGCCAAACACAAAATCAAGACTACACCATATTTTTTTTATAATTCTTCTGGCAACTGTACATGTTTAGACAGTAGTCAGGGAATTGATAGATAACACGCAATAGAATCAGAACTGCGAGATAGTTACGCAAAGTTTAAACCATCGCATCTAATTCGCAGCACTAGACATAACGACGGAGGTGTCAACGACGACGGTGCTTAGTGCAGACAGCCGACAAGACAAGACAGACGAGACGCCCACCGCCGCCACGACAGAGCCCACTACCACCCTGCCGCCGCCCACTGGATTACAACTTCTGTCGCAGGCCACCTGTGGGATCAGCGAAGTCAGTGTTCTGAGGATAGTAGGAGGAACACCTCCCCCGAAGGGTAAGGTGTGTGTGTGCGTGTGTGTGTGTGTGTGTGTGCGTGTGTGTGTGTGTGTGTGCGTGTGTGTGTGTGTGTGTGTGTGTGTGTGTGTGTGTGTGTGTGTGTGTGTGTGTGTGTGTGTGTGTGTGTGTGTGTGTAGAAATTCCGTGACCAGACAATGGTAGGATGCATCTTGGATATAACAATATAGTGTGTTTATATACATAAAACAACTAAGGATGTATCCCAGTGCATGTAAAGGGAGGAATATATGTGTCGCTGCTGTAACTGTCTGTGGTATACTTGCTAGGTTTGTACCCGTGGCTGGCCGCCCTGGGGTACGCCGACGGTCAGGGTAAGATCGAGTTCCTGTGCGGCGCGGCGCTGCTCACCCACCAACACGTCGTCACGGCTGCCCATTGTGTCCGGAACCGAAATGATCTGTAAGTCCTCAGTTCTCTACTGATACTGTTGACCAGACCACACGCTAGAAGGTGAAGGGGACGACGACGTTTCGGTTCGTCGGACCGGACGGACGGACCGAAAAGTCGTCGTCCCTTCATCTTCTAGTGCGTCGTCTGGACAACATACTTCAGCCACGTTATTGGGACTCATCCTCTACTGATACTGTTTGCTGCGCTCTCTGACTAACAGACAATATATAAACCAAGAGGTGTACCCCCCCTTTCCTGGGTGTATGTACACTGAGTTTACTTTTAATTACTGAACAACGTAACGGGCTAAAATATTCTTGTAAGTTGGTTAGTAAGCACTTGTGGTGGCTTTAATAGCTCTCTGGCTGTTGATAGGCCTTAAGCCCGACTCCAAGCAAACATTCAGCAAAGAAGATATATTTAGTGAAAAGGGTAACACATTTTCTTTGTGCATTTACACTTATATCTTTGATTATATCTTTGTTTTACACTTATTTATCTTAATTGTAACACTTATTTATCACTTATTACTTATTGTAACATTTATCTTATGTAACTTAATCACACTTATATATCTTTGACTTTGGCTATGTTCAGGACTAAGGTATACTTGCTGGTTGGTAAATAAGATAATGTCACTGCCTTAATGACCCTCCTAAGGTTCACATATCTTAAACCCAACAACAAACAAAATTGACTTTCTTGGCTTTCCATCTGTCTTGAGATGGCTCCAAGTTGTATGGTAATCAGTAAAAGTGTCAAGTTATACCTTTAGACTCAATACAATTTCTTAATGTTCATATTTTTTACAACCATAACAATGCACTTCTAACCAATGTTGATAACCTCACACAGTTTAAAGTGCAGAAGATGAATACAAAAAAAAAGGACAAATTCTCAAAGATTGACACTTATACATTTTGGAAGATGTGGCAAATGAAGACACTCGCCGGCATCTCTGGCGCATTATCAGTGACCTTTAAAGATGTCATTCTCACCAGAGCTATATTTCTCAGACTCGGCACCTCTTGCTCGCCACGCCCCTCTATTCTTACGTGCTCCCTTCCTCTCTCTCCTCTCTCATCCATCTTTGCCCTCCTCTTCCACTGTGGTATGATCCTGCTTCCAGTTTCTTTCACCAACCAGCAGTGTGGGCCGGAATGAGGAGGGAAGAACGCCTTCGGCTGTACTTGTCTCTTTTTAAACAGAACTTTGTGTAGATCTTGCGCCGGTCTCATCGTCGAGCAAATTACAAAGTCGTGCAAGGGCAAGTTTTCTATTTTCAATTTTTCTATACATTCTTAACCATACATTTTTCTCTTCCTGTCTTTCTATGTACTCTTAACCTTCCCACTTGCCCTCTTCTTGTCTACTCTCTTCCTCCTTCCCCCTCTCTCCCATTTTCTAGCCCTTTGCTACCCCGTTTATCTCTCTCTCTATCCTCATTCTCTCCAGCTTCACCCTCCCCTACTCTCCACTCTGACTCCTCTTTTACCCCTCTTCGTCTTCATTTTCCCCTTCCACACACTCACTCTTACCTGGAGGGAGTTTTTATATTCCCTGAGCCCGGCCTGGGGCCAGGCTTGACTTATGAGAACTTGTTCCAATAGACTGTTGCTTGTAGCGGCCAGCAGGCCCACATGTCCACTACAACTTGGTTCGTCCAGCAGTTTTTGCAGAAAACTGTCTATTTTTTTCTTGGAGAAATGCACTTTTGTTGTGGCAATATTTCTTTTACTTGCTGGAAGGATATTGAACAGCCGTGGACTCTTGATGTTCAGTGTTCTCTGATTGTGTCTATAGCACCTTTGTTCTTTACTGGCTTTATTCTGCGTTTCCTTCCATATCGTTCGCTCCAGTATGTTGTTACTCTACAGTACAAATTTGGGACTTGAACCTCCAGTATTTTCGCTGAATATATTATTGGATACCTCTCTCGTCACCTGTCCAGAGTACATCTTGAGAGCTTTGAGACGATCCCAACAATTTAGGCGCTTTATTATGCCCATGCGTGCCGTATATGTTCTCTGTATTCCCTCTCTTTCAGCAACCTCTCCTGCTCTGAAGGGACAAGTGAGTATCGAGCAGTACTCAAGACGGGGCAGCACAAGTGGTTTGAATATTACGACCATTGTGATGGGATCACTGGATTTGAATGTTCTCATAATCCATCCTATCATTTTCTCTATTCTCTTGCCTCCCCTCACATCCCCCATCTCCAGCTTCACTAAACTCACTTCAGCCTATCTCTCACACACTCACTATATGTTTAACACATCTCTAACCCTGTCCATGGGGGACAGAAGAAAATATATATATGCTGGTTAGCATTGTAAATGTATGGCCACGTCTGTGGTAGAAAATAATAATAAAAAACTCAGTCTATCATCCTTCATCTTATCTCTTGGTCTGCTTTACTCCTTTCACCCACTTTTACCCCTTTAGCATCATTCACCCCTTTCATCTCTCTCTCTCTCTCTTCCCCCTCAGGAAGGTTGTGAGGCTGGGGGAGCACGACCTGAGCAAAGAGAACGAGACTGTTCACGAGGACTTCGGTATCCAGACGAAGACCTTCCACGCGAACTTCAACCCTGTGTCATATGCCAATGACATCGCTATTATCAAGCTCGACAAACCTGTCACTTTCAGGAGTAAGCTTGTGATGGAGTATTTGTTTTAATCGGTGAAACTAGAGGATTTAGTTGCCAGTATGTCCTTGACTCTCACGTTAAGTTATTTTACTTGTTCATGCCCAAGTGGCACTACATATAGTGAGTTTCAGCTAGTCATTTTAATCACACACACAGAGACACATATATACATATTGTTCTAATGTTGATTTGTGGAACCAGTTACCGTGTAACGTGGAGGTGGGGGTCCCTTGATTGTTTCAAGCGTGGGTTGGACATGTATATGAGTGGGATTGGGTGGTTATAAATAGGAGCTGCCTCGTATGGGCCAATAGGCCTTCTGCAGTTACCTTAATTCTTATGTTCTTATATAATGTGCGTGTGTGTGTACTCACCTAGTTGTGCTTGCGGGGGTTAAGCTCTGGCTCTTTGGTCCCACCTCTCAACTCAATCAACTGATCTACAGGTTCCTGAGCCTACTGGACTCTATCATATCTACACTTGAAACTGTGTATGGAGTTTGTCTCCACCACATCACTCCCTAATGCATTCCATTTGTCTACTACTCTGACACTGACAAAATTATATCTAACGTCTCTATGGCTCATTTGGGCACTCAATTTCCACCTATGTCCCCTGTGTGTGTGTGCGTGTGTACTTACCTAGTTGTACTTGCCTAGTTGTGCTTGCGGGGGTTGAGGTCTGGCTCTTTGTTCCTGCCTCTCAACTGTCAATCAACTAATGTACAAGTTCCTGAACCTACTGGGCTCTATCATATCTACACTTGAAGCTGTGTATGGAGTCAGCCTCCACCACATCACTTCCTAATGCATTCCATTTGTTTACTACTCTGACACACAAAATTATTTCTAACGTCTCTATGGCTCATTTGGGCACTCAATTTCCACCTGTGTCCCCCTAGTGCGTGTGCCCCTTGTGTTAAATAGTCTGTCTTTATCTACCCTATCAATTCCTCTGAGAAAGGAGGAATGTGTGTGTGTGTGTGTGTGTGTGTGTGTGTGTGTGTGTGTGTGTGTGTGTGTGTGTGTGTGTGTGTGTGTGTGTGTGTGTAAATCACGAAGAAATTAACCTGATGAACAATGTAACAATGTCAGATCACGAAGGAAGGTTAAGATAGGAATTTCCTTAAGTACTTTCGCATTCACATCTTTAGAAAGATGTATCCTTCAGAAGAATCCTTCTAAAGATGTGTTATTAATTACGAAAGTACTTAAGGAAATTCCTGTGTTAAACTTCCTTCATGGTTTGACATATATATATATATATATATATATATATATATATATATATATATATATATATATATATATATATATATATATATATATATATATATATATATATCTTTCCTCAATTAGTATCAATGCCCATAAGTTCGTGTTGTGGTACTTATTCCTCTCCAAACTTGTGCGGTCCCGCAGAAGGCATCAAGGCGGTGTGTCTTCCGCTCCCTGGCAGGTTCCACAACAACTCCCTGGTTGGGATCCCCGGCATCGTCGCTGGCTGGGGCGCTGTCTCCTTCAGTAAGTATGGCAACAGTAGCGTACGGTAGGGCACAGGTGTACACAACCAGCCCATCATAGATAGGCTGCACACAGTAACAAGATAAACATGTATGTACTCATCACATTGCAAGTAGGACGTGTTGGCTCAAACATAGATATCTACAATATACCTAAAAATTGATAAATATATGCCTAATCTATTTCCTGAATGTCAATTAAGTGAACATCTGATTTGTTGAAATTTCTGTGGTATGGACTTATTTTTAACGTTTAATAAAATACAATGTTTTTTTCGAGATTGCGTAAGGAATATAAAATTTTAAGCATTGATAATCTTGAGGTTTGAGGTTTCAAGGCCATAGATCAGGCAAGCAGGGGTTTGAAGACAGGGACGAGGATGCAGAAATCTTGTGCAAGGAACTGGAGACGAGGTGGATACTTACATAATCTTGTTAGAAAAAATATTTTATTTTATAAAACTAGGTACTGAGGACTTCGGGGTCTGAGGTGAATAATAAAGATAAAAAAATTCTCATTCATGAATTGTATTGTTGTTGCTAACCCTCCGCCCTCAACATGCAGATAATGTGTCGTCGCCTGAGCTGCTTCACGTCATGCTCCCGGTAATCTCACAAGAGGAGTGTGCTCTCAAGTACACCCGCTTCAGGCAGGTCCGCATCGACAACTCCGTTCTGTGTGCAGGAGTTGGAGGCAAGGATGCCTGCCAGGTGAGTGTCCCCTCTTAATATTACCCGTTTACGGACAAAGAAAACGGATATTTGAATTGTTAAAATATATTTGATGATAATACTACTAATAATAATACATATAATAGTAACGATAATAGTAATAAAACGCAAAATGATAAATTGCAACAAAATAATGACTTAACAATTTAAAACTGTTTAATATTTGCATTTATAGATGATCAAAGTTCTTAATAAATTAAGCTAGTATGTAATACAAGGGATGCATCAAAGTGCACTCGGGGTATGAACATTGAGAAACGTTCCCCGCGCCGTCACAGGGATATATATGTACTGAGAGGTGTACCCTGCTTCTCGGTGTATATACTCTGAGAATATTCTTTGGCTCTAGACTATGTCCAGAGTATTCTTGCTGGTTGATCAGCTAGCACTTTTGGTTACCTTGATAACCCTCCAGAGGTCGATAGATATTAAACTTAACACGAGACGAAGTCCGCTCCTCTGTGTGTATACAATGTAAGTTTACTTTAGTCCGGAATTGTGTCCGGGACTTTCTGGTTGGCCAGTAAACTATTCAAGTTCAAATACGTTTAGTTATTGAGACAAGAAAATACATCTCATATTTCTACTTTCCTAGTAAGCTATTGTAGTGGCCTTAGCAGTCCTCCAAAGGTTGATGGGCCCTAAGCCCAACACCAAACCGAAAACATGTTATGTCTACCCGATATCTGACCCTAGTACCTTACCATGAAGTTATCTTTAAGTGTTTTCGGGTGCTTAGCGTCCCCGTGGCCCGGTCGTCGACCAGGCCTCCTAATACCTTAGTATTAGAACAATTACATTATTTTTAACCTCCAGTACTATAGCATCTGGCCCCGGTATATGCCCCACACCCACAACACTTAACCTAGTTGTAAACCCCATCATCCCAATTTTGTGCCTCTGTTCCCAAGAATCTACTGTCTGTTTATAATTCACAAACTTACCCTTTGTGTATTTCCTCAGGGCGACTCTGGGGGTCCTATGGTAATGCACTATGGAAGTCAGACCTTCCTGACTGGCATCGTCTCATTTGGGTTTCGGTGCGCGGAGCCTAACTTCCCCGGCGTCTACACCAAGGTGTCCTCGTACCTGGACTGGATCCTGACCATGCTCAACTAGCAGCATAAAGGGCTTGTCCATCGCCAGGAACTTTCACTACTCAACTAGTTGTACAGAGGCTTGTTTAGAACTTGTGCAGCGTCTGGAAAGCCTTACACTACTAAATCATTGGTGTTCAGGCTTTTTCAAAGAGCGTACAGTATCCAGTCAACCTCTTTAAAAACCTGACTAGCACTATTTTGAGATACACATAGCCTACCACTGAAAACCAGCCAGCACCTACTGTCTGTATTCAACTGTGTGTGTGTGTGTGTGTGTACTAGCTATTCATTACATAGTGTGCCAAGACCAGGCCTGGGGAACCATGTGGCTGCTGTGGGAAGGAACACGTAACCACGCAGCTTCTCTTATAGTTCACATGATCCTCTTTCATCTTAAGGCTAGGCTATTCATGCTACGTTTTTGTAGCATTTAGGATTATTCGACGTCAAATGCAAGACGTGTTACATGTAATAATATATTCTGTTGAGGGATCGATCAGCGTCATGATGCGTTTTTGTGTAACGTGTTAACATGTGTATGTAAAACCTATGCATAAATACATAGGATTTTAACATGGTAAATCCTATGTTAAATAATACAAATGTTGTTGGTTTGGGTTGCTGTTGGACTTAATTAAGACTTATCAATTTCTGATGGTTGATTAGGGCCACAAGTACTTACTGACCAAACAACTGAGTATATACACTGAAAAGTGTATCCTCTCTGTTTATATATCCCTTGACGATGTTATGACTCATACGCATGTCGCTTTTTAATTATTTAATTACATGCACGAAGTTACAATTATACAGTTGAATTTAATGTTATTTATCTGTAAACAGTATCCTTCCCTGATTGATATATATATATATATATATATATATATATATATATATATATATATATATATATATATATATATATATATATATATATATATATATATATATATATATATATATATGATAAATTAAAAAACGTGAACACGCTTTTAAATGTATACAGAACTTACTGAAAAATTTTCATTAATGAGTTTCAAGTTAGACTGCTTTGTTTTTTTAGTCTTTTTTTATTTTTCTCTTAAATGTCTAGGCTTAACGAATAGCTTTGTGATCAGAAATACAATGTTTTTATTCTTTTCATGGTTGGCACTTTTTAAAATACTGTATTTAAAATTTAAATAATTGTAAATACAAAAAATCATTAACATTCATAATTCACACGTTTCGAAATGAATGTTTTTATCTTTTCATTCTCGGCAAATGCATAAAAGTTAAAGGTTCCCAACCAGGGATTGTTGGCACACTGGGGTTACGCGAACCTGTTTTGGGGGTTCCGCAAGCCTGTGTCCAGGGTTCTGTGAGCTTGTATCCTGGGTTTTGTGAGCCTGTGTCTGGGGGTTCCGTGAGCCTTGGGGGGGGGGGTCTGTGAGCCTTTGGGGGGTTCCGTGAGCCTTTGGGGGGGTTCCGTGAGCCTTTGGGGGGGTTCCGTGAGCCTTTGGGGGGGGGGGGGTTCCATGAGCCTTTGGGGGGGGGGTTTCCGTGAGCTTGCATCCGGAGTTCTGCAAGAATTCGCAATAGCTTGCGAAAAAAATACAACTTGCCATCTTTTTTGTAACTGAGTAAAATAAAATAAAAATTAAGGGTTGACCGATTGATAAAACACTGAAGCGTTTTGAAAGTTTTCCTTGGTTAGATATGCGCGAGATACTTTAGTTATTATTTAAGCAGCGGAAGTCTTACTTGGTAGGAGAAATTTCAGTCCTTGGTGTAATTACCTAAGTGTAGTTACCTAAGTGTAGTTACAGGATGAGAGCTACGCTCGTGGTGTCCCGTCTTCCCAGTACTCTTTGTCATATAACGCTTTGAAACTACTGACGGTCATGGCCTCCACCATCTTTTGTGTGTGTGTGTGCCCATCAATGATGCGACCACGAATTAAGTTATTTTGTTAAAAAAAAGCAAGCTCAACTTTCATATTAAATTAAGAGACAATTAGTATCAATGTTATTCTATTGAAATTGTATTTTTTTCAATTTTGAATGTATTATAAAATAATATCATTTGTTTTTGTTAACTTTATGAAACGCAATTAATGTAACAGAAAATCATTACACAATATATACACAATGTTTTGTAACCAACAAGTCAAATGTAAAGTGAAAATGTTTGTAGTTTTCTTGTACAGTAATTAATACAAAGAAATAAGACAATAAATACTCATGTAATATTATGTAATAACTCAACCCAAAACCAACCAAACCCAAATGATAATACATTTTAGCTTAATAATACATATGGTTAATAAACACAAAATAAACTTTGCCGTATCTTCATCCACCGGGCTCCATTTTCTTCCACCACATCCTCTAAGAGGCAACGTGGGAAGGTAAATTCTTACAGGTTGTCAGTCGACAGCTTGCCCTCGTAGGTGGTGGTCGCTGTTGGGTCTTCTCCTTAATTGTGTGCGCAGACATTTTGCCAGCTAAGCCATTATGATTTATATATTGTTTTAAATAGTGTCCATAGCCAGGCACTTATTACGCAGTTTCTGTTATTATTATGTTTATTAATTGTTGATGTGCTTGTTTAGAGTTTGTTAGCAGTCACTGAGACTGTCATTTAATAATGAAGCTAATATTAATTGCTCGTTAAAGGTGAATTTCGTCTTGTATATAGCATCTTGCCCCCCCCCCCCAACCTCGAACAGACATAATAATATAACACAAATATAATGAAATATATGCAATATATAATTATTTATTTTTATATTTTCTATGTATGGTCTAATACTTAAACGTTCCAAGGCTTCGTAAATGTTCCAAAGCTTCGTATGTGCTTACACGCTCCGAAGTTAGTCCCTTTGTGCCGTTCTCAAGAATATCCCTTCATTAGTGATCGTTCGTTCTTAGTCTGAATCGAGTTTCTAACATGTTCCCTCAACATGTAGATACTCGTCATCTAAACTCGTCCCACCTTACGAAGACTGACACACCGTTAATGCCCCACCTTCATTCAACAGCTAACACGATTGTAACTCCGCACTGCATAAAGTTTATTCTTAATGGAAACTAATAATAATCTCGCCAAATAAATAAGTTGATGTAGCATTACAGGTCTTAGCTGCAGTTTCTTTAGGAACGTCAGTACACTTTCTAAGGAATCCTCATCTTAGTTTAAGACGGAGAGATCGGGAAGTTCAAGTTCAAGTAAGTTTATTGAGACAAGAAAAAAAATACATCTCAAAGGGATAGAGTAGCTTAGGCTACTTCTACCCCCAAGATCGGGAAGGGAAGGCGTAATGATGGGGGGGTGGGGGGAAGGGGGACCGAAAACCAAATATTAAGACATCAAGACAAACATGCATTATGAAAGAAAGTGAAAGTCTTATTTCAAAATGTCATTTATTCTACCATTTATATCCATGCATTTATTTAAAGACTGAGACATAAGTTTTCTTGATAGGTAGTATTAAAAAATAAGAAATGACTTTTAAGTACTGTACCATTATTGTAATTTTATACTTAATCAACTTTTGATTAAAATAATTTCCTTGCATTCAAAACAATAATTTAGAAATACACTTATATAACGAATCTTGCATAGCTTCAGAAACGCTGAGAGTACAGTTCCTCCCGAGATGCTGAGATTACGCATCTTGCGTAGCTCCAGGTAAGCTGAGGTTACGCATCTTGCGTAGCTCCAGGTAAGCTGAGGTTACGCATCTTGCGTAGCTCCAGGTAAGCTGAGGTTACGCATCTTGCGTAGCTCCAGGTAAGCTGAGGTTACGCATTTTTTCCTGGAGCTTGGTGATGGCCCGCTGGTGCTCTGAGATCTGATGCTCGTGGTATTCGACTTTACCCTTGTGAGTAATGATGATACTGCGGTGGAAAGCAGCCTGCTGGCGGTGCTCCTCCACGAGTTTCTCGTGGCAGCCGATCTTCTCAAGGTAGACGTCCAAAGTGGTCTCCTTGACGCTGTTCTCGCTCTTCTCCAGCTTTACGCGTAGGTCCTCCATCGCCTCTTGTTCCTACAAGAGAGGACGAGGGCTTAGGTTAGGTGTTGAGGTTAGTCTTAACCCCTGCTAGGTTCATTACTTCAGCATACTCCCCTTGCGCTAGCGCGGAGTCCTCATCTTAAATCACAAATAGAAGCTGGTGAAAGTTCAGAGGTATGCTTGAACAGAACAGCATAGTGTCTTAAGAACTAACAGATATAAGTTCCGAATTAACAGTAGTTAAACCTCGCGTTAGTGAAAGAGGGAATAGAGTAAGCATGATTATAACATGCAAAATATTCAGTAAAATATAGAGATAACAAGAATAGGGAATTTAACATAGATAGCACACCGACAAGAGAACTTGGGTGGATACTTAAGTACACAAATGAGTCACAGGGACATTAAAATGATTGTTTAGTGTCAGGATAGTAAACAAATGGAATAAATGTACCAAGAATTGAAGTGGTGGAAGCCAACTTCATACACGGCTTTAAATGGTTCCATAGCCCAAAGAGCCCTATGGGCCCCATAGGAACCCATACACCTTACCATCACAATCGCCTCTACCACCACTGTCGCGAACCTTGTCATAACCACCATCCTGACCACCTTACTATTACTATTCCGCAACTACCACCTTCCACAGTAGTCCCACTACGACCCACATCACTCCTACAGTCCCACAACCCCCCCCCCCTGAAAACCCCCACTACTCTGGCTGCCACATTCCAGCACTTACTAATTGAGTCCAGTCGCACGTACATAAAATCGAAGGTAAATGCAGTTACCTAATTAAACAAGTGAGGCGCTATGCTGACCTTTGAACTGGTAAATACTGTGACGTGTGGTTAGGGAATCAGTGTGGAGGTGGGATGGGGGGCGTGGATGGGTAGGAGGGGACGGATGAATGGAACGGAAAGATAAGTAGATGGAGAAAAGGGAAGGGAGAGAAGTAGGTGGGGTGGATGAGGAAGAGGGCGCTGAAGATTTGAAGAAATATTCGAAAGGAAAGATGGAGAAGAATAGATGTATTACTCAGAAGAAACAAGCTGCAGAACAATAATCAGAAAGCGAAAGAATATGATCAAATACAAGACAGAAGAACTAACAATAAAAGGAAAAACAAACGCTAAAATAAACATAAAAAGGTAAGAAAGACTAAAGTTGAGAAGAAAATAAAATAAGAATAAAACAAGACCCACAAAGAATTCATGTTAAAGCTGCCAGATTCCAATTTCGTGGACAAAAACAAGGAATATGAGAAGCCTAACGGAGCGTCTCCTAGAGCTGAGAGGTGGGAGGGGACGCGACGATATTGGCGAATGTCAGGAGAGCGAAGGACAAGTGCTAATTAGGAAATGCATTCACCGCTGCCTTTCTCTCTGACCGCGTTAACTGTGTCAAGCTCTCAATGAGTTCACGACCCAAGCCAATTGGAGAAAGACAATATTGTTTAATGTGATTTTAGAAATTCAGGCAAATATTGTGGACGATATATCTAGCATATGGATGCATTTCTGACTACTGTACATACCATTAGCGAGCGGACGATATATCTAGCATATATCGTCCGATACATGTGGACATCTAGACGAGTACTTTTTGCAAGCGCATTGAGGTGAGCACGCACGCGTACGCATGTCAGTGCAAGGTATAAAGCAGAAGAGAGCCAATATCACAACATACAAGATACTTTGGGGAAGTGACACGTTAGACATGGGCAGACTATTTGAAATACCACATAACTAATATAGAAAATTTGAAATGTAGACTACAAGGGCAGGCTAAGAGAACATACTCTAAACGCTAGAGAAAAAGAATCAGAGGATAGGAGACATGGTTGAGAAGTATAAAATACTAGCAAGAATATACAAAGAGGGAAACCACAAAATGTTCCAATGTAGAAAAATTGATTAGCCGCAGTAATATAAGTACTCGTTTAGTATGGGTGTAGTATAAGCAATATTCAAATCGAGAGAAAATGCGAATAAAGTTGCAATAAAATACTCTTCTCAAGGACAGAGAAAGGCCCTTAGAGACATTCTTCTCTACCCGCAAGCGCTAAGAACACCCACACAATCCACCCACTCACTGGCACACCAATAATCGATATAGGGTCAGCACAGTCCGTTCACACCCTAAGAGTGCCGTGTAAGATTCCTACAGCAGGACTGAATAAACTGTATCTGATGCCTCTGTTCACCAAGCAGTAAAATAGGTACCTGGGAGTTGGGCAACAGTTGTGGCGTTATAACCTGGGGAAGGTCAGTAGTTGGCCTAGAAGCGCCTCGATAAGGCTTTCCTGACTGTGGGAACCAAACCAGTTACGGACTCGCCTTCCTCCTGAAGTATTGTTCCTCTTGGACGACGGCTCTCTTGCCCAAGGCGCCCCCAGCGTCCCGGACGGCCCCGCCCGTTCCCCCTCCTGCTCCAGCGCCTGACCCAGCCTCCTGAGTCATCCTCATCACACTCCTCAAGCTGGAAGCGTCAGGTAGAGCACAATTACACATACAAAATTATAATGACACAATGTAACTGATCCAGAATTGCCACCATTGTCAATATTTATAAGGACCATTAGGCTAGTCAAGCCTAATGGTAACTGATCCAGAATTGGCCACCATTGTCAATATTTATAAGGACCATTAGGTTACCCTAGCCAAAATAAATAGAATATAACCTAATATAATAGGGAATGGATTTATTATGTATTTTTTACTAGAATTTCTATATCGTAACCATTGGTATAATTGTAATGTTTATTAATGGTACTGTAATTATTAAGGTACAAATAAATTTGTGTATATTGTCTACAAACCAAGGACAGTAATTTGTGCCCCTGAAACCAAACTACGTCCCTAAGTACCATGACAAAAACTGATAAATAATCACACATGCCATAAACAATTCAAGCAAACTGAAACAAATATTATAATTATTATTATTAGTTATTATTAATACCAACAATAAAATGCAACAATCGCCACTAAAATATCAATTAAATGATTAAGTAAAGCATTCTATAAATCAGTTTTATACTAAACAAGACACTCAAATATTAAAAACATGAATACCAAGTCGGAGATTGTACACGCAAAACACCCACCTGATTAATTCAGAAACCTACGAGAGCTTGTTATCACTATTCCTTAATAACTAACATAATGCAACCCTACTCGCCTAACTGAACTAAAGCGGGACTTAATGACTTAAGGGGAACTATTACTTAACTTAATTCATCTATATGTTAATCTTCATATCAATACAAGTACAAAATTATATTAGCAGGGTCACACTAACTTGAAAATAATATTTTCATATTAATTTGATCGAAATTTGAAAAAAAACTACGCCCCCTCCTCTATATGTATGTATTGTTATTTTGAAGGATGAGTTGGAATTAAGTGTGCAAAATTGTACCAGCACGTGTACAGTAACTAATTATACCAACAGATATATTAATTATATACTAAGTGATATATCACATTTAGCATATCACTGTATAATATATTGTTATGGTGTAATTAAAATTTTATTAGTATAATATATTTACAATATATTAATTATAATTAATATATCGTTATAGTGTAATTAAGATTTTATTAGTATAATTTATTTACAATATATTAATTATAATAAATATATCGTTATAGTGTATTTAACATGTAAATATATTATACCAATAATTGTGCAACATAAGTCTCCACGGCTTGGCGCCTTATTTTGATAATTACTATTTACAATAATTATACTTAATCCGATATATTAATTATAAATATACTAACAATATATTAATTGCTGAAAGCGATACATTAATTTCGCTAGCGGCCGTTAAGGTATAAATTTGAATATTCGAAATGTTACAGAAAATATTAACTGCAACAATTATACCTGAAATAATAGGAATATTTTTTTGTGTCTAGCCTATTCGCTCCTGAAATAGCGCGAAGTTTTTACATTTGGAAGCAAATCTACATTCATCATGGTACAAAATGTGGCACAAAATCTGAAATTCTGAAAAGAATAGATATATTAGCCCAGAGAATGACAAATACAATATATATATTAGTTGGTATAATGTCAATAATAAAAGAGTTGACGGCCGCCTGCTTCAGTATAAAGCACACCTCACGCTTATCTGGGCTCTGTGGGGACAGACAATCTTAAGTCATGGGTAAACAAAATTAATTTCTATGGCAAACCAGGTGTAGAGATACTAACAAGGTGGAAAGAGCCCTGAGGCCTAGAGGCACGCGGGAGCTGGTCCAGAGAGTCATCTTGTCCCCTCCTCGGCTCCTCCCGCACTGATCCAGTACTCTGCTTGCCTTCCTAATCCACTACCTCTTTTGTAATTAAAGCACTAGCAAATTATTCACAAGCAAGGCACATTTATTAATAAGTAACTGTTTAGATATTGGGTACTTGTATTTCGTTTATGTGTTGTTATTCGTGCATTTTATGCCAAATGAGGTTTCAAAAGACTGAAATATCGCCGCAGTAAAAGTAGGGATAAACACGTGAGTGGGACTGTGTGTGTTTTTGAACGTGTGATTTCTACTGTGATCTGTGTTGTGCCTGCTCTCTCCGTCAAGTGTGGTGCCTGCTCTCTCCGTCAAGTGTGGTGCCTGCTCTCTCCGTCAAGTGTGGTGCCTGCTCTCTCCGTCAAGTGTGGTGCCTGCTCTCTCCCCCTGCCTCTCCGTCAAGTGTGCAACTGGTCGGCCTAGCAGGAAACGTATGAACCCAAGCAGCCCACCTAACCTATGGAGGCCGATAGGTTACATAGAACCTGACAGTCTGGAGGGAGTCTGACATGTTTCAAGAAGAGAAGAAATATGCTATATTATGTGAGTATTACCGAATACTTCACGTATTTTAGGTTCATTACGGCCAAGATGAGTAAAATATTTTGGTCATGAGAGTTGGTAGTCAGCTCAGCTTACTGAAATGAAAGTACTTATAATAACTACTGGGTGGAAAGTACCAATTTACAGTGATGGGCCACCAGAAAGTTGATTTCTGTATTATTAAATTTGAGTAAACCGGAAACTTTTTAACCACATCAGAAATATAAGACCTAATCTAACCTCTCCTAGTGATCCTAGGCCTAATATAGTACATATATATATATGTGCTATACTAGGCCTAGGAATATTTGAGTTCAGTTTTTAGCTTTATTTTTTCCGGACTTTTATGAAGTTAATAATACAAAAATGGGTTTACTGGCGGTCCCCTCTACATATTGGTACTTTCACACCCAAATAGTCACCATAAGTACTATCATTCGAGGAGATATCAGTTGTGGTAGTACAAAGTGGGCACCACTCAGAGGGTCTACGTGTTAGTTATAATTTGACTAATTGATTATGTGGTCGACGTTATATGGTTGACTAGTTGATTATGTGCGACGTTATTTGTCAGAGGACGGGTTGCGCGATCAACTATGGAATACAGATTTGATGCGATAAGAAAGAATTAATTTAATATTGTGTTGGTGGTGCTCCTATGCGGGTCAGAAGGCTACCACAATTCCCGCCAATTATATTCATGCGAAAAGAAAGAAAACTACAACATATTGAATCATGTCTTCCAGCTATTATTGTCTGCAAAATGCAACAAACACAATATGTATTTATAAATGTAAATGTCCCAGGCAGGAGGCCAAATGCTTGGTGATAGCTTTATTCATTTTTGGCAAGTAATTGCTGTAAGGTACATGCCCAACATGGGTGGGGTGGGATTGGTATAAATGAAAAGTGCCGTGTGACACTGTGCAACAACCCATCTGACACAACAACAACCCTCCATCCATACACCCCGACCCCCAGAGAGACAAAGACATTCCCGGGCACCGCTGGGTACCCCCTTAAAGTGTGGTGTTAGCCTGTCGAGTGTCCTGGGACTAATAACTGTTCTCTAACAATGGGTGCCGCCTATTTGCACAATGTGCACAACAAATGAAAATAGAAGATATAAATCACTTCAGATGATGGTTTCAACCGAATCCAAGCGTGATGGTTTAATTGAAATCAGTGAACTATACATCTCCATCCTAAAGTAACATAAATGTTAGTAGAAGTAAATTCTAACAGTTGTGTTAATTAGTCCTGCGTCAATACTGGCCAGCCGCCTCCGGACCTACAGTCATGTCGGGCCTCAGTTGCTCAGTTCTACTTTAATATGGAAATGTTACTCCCAAGAGTTTAGAATAATAATAACACAAACAGAAATGAAAGAATTGGAAACAATAATGATGCGATGCCTCGGGATATTGAATAATGAATCATTCTAGTATAAAATGAATTCTTCAGTTGCCGCTGGTCGGAGTCTCTTCTGGCTTATTTATACTTCATAATATCAGTAATTCGTTTTATAATTAATTAAATAACCATGCTAATAATATTTTTTTTTTATAAAATTGTTGGCTGTTGTGAACGTTATAGTATCATTAAAGACAGGTTGCTGTGAACGTTAAACTGTAGTATCATTAAAGACCAAAATATGGAAGCCAATAAATAGGTATTTGCGTGGGGATAATGCAAGAGCAGGATGATTAACGAGGGCTAAGTATGCCAGATGAATATCGGATAGACAGCAAGCGAAGCCTCACACAATTATCTCCAAATTTTGTACCAATTTAATAATATCGAACCTCTTAGCCAGCTCCTCATTACAACTGTTGCTGAAACCTGTCCAAGCATTGACACAACAATCAGCAGGTAATAAGAGTTAAACCTCGCGTCAATGAAAGAGGGGAATAGGGTAAACATGATTATAACATACAAAATACTCAGTAAATTATAGAGAAGACAAGAATAGGCTATTTAACGTAGGCAGCACACCGACAAGAGAACTCAGGTGGAAACTAAGTACACAAATGAGCCACAGAGACATTACAGTATGTGTTTAAATTTATGAAAATACAATTCATATACATTTTATTGCGAATATGTTGCTAAGACGCCATTTGTTGACTTATTAATGAAATTTTCCCCCCTCTTTTCAAACAGTGAAAGTAATATATTTATAATAAGTGTACTGGATGTTGCAGATGATATTGCGATATGCACTATGCAACTCCAGCATTAAAATATACTGGAGTGCAATTTATGGACGGGGAGAAAACGTTTTGGATCTCGTCCACCAGTCAGGGGTTAATTTTATGCGTTGAGGCGTGGCATGGATAAGACAGTATTGGCATCTTGGAGAGTCATAGATCACGCTGGGTCCTTCGGGTCTGAGGACAGTGAGGGGGATGGGGCGGGGGGGGGGGGAGGACAGGTTTTTGAGACAACGGGAAAGGAGAGAGAGGGTTGTGTGGCAGGGGAAAGGAAGAATGGAAAGGTTCGCGGATTAGAAGAATGGAGTGGGTTGAGGACGGTTTTATTATTATTATTATTATTTTCTACCACAGACGTGGCCACACATTTACAATGCTAACCAGCATATATACATTTTCTTCTGTCCTCCATGGACAGGGTGAAAGATTTGTTAAACATACAGTTCAGAGATTTATTGAGCAACCACAGAAGGTGCTCGTAGTGCTTTTAAAATGTTAGGCTAAGCTACATACGTAAATACATAGATACATAGATTTATGAATGCATTAATGAGAATTTATAATGGAATAATAATAATAATATTTTATTTAGGAAAAGTACATACATAGATGCAGTTACAAACATTCTGATTGATTTATAGATAGAGCTAGTACATACAATATCTAAAGCCACTAGTACGCATAGCGTTTCGGGCAAACAATACCTAAAGCCACTAACACACACCATACACAAGATAGTTCGCCTATGGATTTTAAAACCTAACTTACCTAATATAAAAGAACCGAAAATTAACCTAATCTGATACAGTCTAATTAAACGAAACGTCCGGTATTTTTAATTTTAAAACAACTTTGTCGAACCATCTTGGGTACGATTTGACCACAGCTCGGTGTTGGTAAAAAGTATTTTTAAACGGAAATATGCAAAATTAAAGGGATAATTAGGGTAAAATGGAAGATTATGGAAAGAGGGAAGCTGGGTAATGAAGGATGTTAAGAGGGGAAGTGGGGAGTGAATGAAGATGTAAAATGAGTTGGTTTTGGAGAGTGGTTGGTGGGAGGAGAGGGTTAGGTGGCAGACCGAGACACACTGAGATACCAGAGTGAGAAAACAGGGTTAGGGGAAGGTGCGAAATAAGAACCCTAGTGATAAGTCAGTAAGAATAAGAGTGGTGTAAGGAGATGGAGGGAAGAGGTAACGTCGAGGGAGGTAGTGGGTTGAGGAAAAAAAGGTGGAGAAAGAAGCAGAGGAGAGTAAGATGAGAGTGTGAAAGATAGGCCCAAAATAATAATAATAATAATAATAATAATAATAATAATAATAGTAATAATATAAGAACCCGCGATTGTGTATTCGTGAAATTTATGTAAAGAAATTACACCAGTTCTTTCGCACTCTCCCGAGTGTGTTGTCAAGGGCTGAGTGTGTGGCAAGGACGAGACTTACATCTCAACGTCTTAATACATAATACTCATTTCTTTACATATTTTTAACAAATACACAAGTGTGGGTTTTTATATTGTGTTATTCTGTCTGTGAGAAGACATTACCATTTATAATAATAACAATAATAAATAAAATTTTATTTGTAAAAAAAAAATATTATGCAGTTGTTGTTACAGTGTTAAGCTTAACTATTATAAGTAAATTATTATCTATAAGGAGACAACCAGAGCTAAGCATTTTGGACAAGTGTGAAAGAGTGAAAGTTAAAAATATCTTGAGGTTATCTTGAGATGATTTCGGGGCTTTAGTGTCCCCGCGGCCCGGTCCTCGACCAGGCCTCCACCCCCAGGAAGCAGCCCATGACAGGTGACTAACACCCAGGTACCTATTTTACCCAGGTACCTATATGAACGATATTAGAAAATAAAATAAGTCATCATTCGAGTCACAATAATCTGTGATTAATTACTTGTTGCCGGAGTCTTTTGTTCTGTGGATCTCTCAGTGTAAAGCAATAGTCAACAGGAAGTGAACTGAATAATAACTTCTATTGATTGGGTGTTGAGTTTCAGGGCTAGCAACCTCTGGAGGGTTATTAAGGTCACCAAAACAGCTGAATGACTAACGAACAAGTTTACTTTTGTCCATTGCTAACGTATATTCTCAGTATATATATATATACCGAGAAGTAGGGTACACCTCTTAGTTTATGCACACCGAGATACAGGGTACGGATCTCAGTGTATATATGTGTATATAACAGATAATGAGCGATGTATTCCAATCGCTGGAAGCAGT